GGTGGGGGCGAGGGGCGGCGAAGGAGAGGGTTGCGGCGGGAAAGGCAGCGTGGAGGCTGGCGGAGGTGTGGGGGAGGTGGAGGGCGGCGGCGGCGTGGGCGAGGTGGAGGGCGGCGGCGGGCGGCGTGAGTGACGGCGGCCGCAGTGTGGAGGAGAGGTGGGGGGGAGGGCGGCTCATCTTAGTTAATACTCGCGTCCACACATGCAGGTGCGTACGTGGGCTCGGTGCACATGAGCACTTAGAGGGGCGCTGAGGGAGGGTGTAGAGGATGTAGAGTGTAGAGCGCTGTAGAGCTGTAAAGATGTAGAGCGCTCTGGAGCGCTGTAGAGCTGTAGAGCTCTACATCCGGCGCGTGACGATGCGCCTCCGTTGTAGAGCGATGTAGAGGCGCTCTACAACGTGAAATCTCTACAACAAACTCTACATCATAAGCGGCGAACGAGGCACGGTCGCTCTCCGACATGAGGCGCGTTGCACTTGCCAGTGCTGCCCTGGCCTTCTGTCTGCCCGCCCAATGGGTGGCAGGTGCCTCTGCTGCTGTGGCATGCCTCACGGCTGCGACTGGCCGGCGCCTCGGCGCGTCAGCTCGGCTCGGCGTAGCGATAGTGGCCAGCGCAACTCGCCTGGACTCAACGCTCAGCCAGGAGCTCCCGCACGCGCTGGCGCGAGTCATGGCGCATGCAACGCGTCTAAATGCTCTCCTCGCCTCGCGCAAATGCGACCGTCCTCGCAGCCGACAGTCCACCGCCTGCTAAAGAAGCACAGCGACGAATGCGGCACCGGCGACACATGGCAGGCTGGTCATGACGCAGTTATAGGGTGTTGTGTGCCGTCGGAGTGACTCTCTGTGCGTCAGGGATAGTCAGGGCTGTCCATCAGAGCTCCAGTAAGCTCGGAGACACCCCATATTAGCGCGGCTCGACCTCTTTGAGTCACTGCCTTCCCGGCGGTTTGGCTGTAGAGCCTCTACAACAAACTCTACAGCAAAATCGCGCTCTACATCGCTCTACAACGGAGGCGCATCGTCACGCGGCGGATGTAGAGCTCTACAGCTCTACAGCGCTCCAGAGCGCTCTACATCTCTACAGCTCTACAGCGCTCTACACTCTACATCCTCTACACCCTCCCTCAGGAGGGGCGGCGAGGGGCGCGAGCCTTAGCGAAGATACGCGCCTACCGCGCAAAAAGAATTCGAGCCGACGCTCCGTTGTGATCCAGGCATGCAGGTGCTTGGCACCACCGCGCTTGGCACCACATTCCCGGTGCCGCTCAATGCGCTGCTGTCCACGTGCGTCGATGCGGCGAGGCTCGGCTGTCGTGAGATCAGGGCGGTGCAGGCGAACCGCGAATCGAACGGGCTGGACGTCATGTCAAAGCCGGGCGAAGAGTTCAGGTACACGGTGTTGACCGAGGCGGACCTCGCCGCGCAGCAGGCCATCGTATCGGCCCTTCGCGCGGCGTGGCCGGGCCTCCTCGTCGTTGGTGAAGAGGACGACGCTGCCGCCGCAGAAAAGGGCGTGCCCGGCGAGGCGCCGCCGGTGCTGCGTAAAGACTTGTGCGCGGACGCGGCGTGCGAGCGGGCCGTACCGATGGCCGACATCGCCGTCTTCGTCGACCCGCTCGACGGCACGCGAGAGTTTGTCGAGGGCCGGCTGGGCAACGTGCAGGCCGTTTGCCGCCCTCGCCGCCGCCGCCCTCCCGCCGCAGCCCTCACTGCCGCCCGCTGCCAACTCCCTCGCCGCCGCCGCCGTGCAGTCTCTCGTCGGAATCGCCGTCGACGGCAGGGCGGTCGCCGGTGCGGTCGACATCCAAGTCTCGGGGCTGGCGAGGCACGCGATATCTCACGAGAGTGGGCGAGGTTGTAGGCGCCGTCGGCCTGCCGTTCCCCGAGGAGGGCGGAGAGCCTCAGGTGCTGTACGCGCTCGTCGGCGCCGGCAGCGGGGCGCTGGGACGAGGTGTGAACAGCGTCTATTCACACCCACTGCTGTGTAGGCGCCGGCAGCGGGGCGTTGGGCGGCGGCCTCGCGGCGGCGGAAGAGGCGGCGGCGGCGGCGACAGCGGCGACAGCGACGGCGGCGGCGGCGGCGGCGGCGGCGGCGGCGGCGGCGGAGCGACCTGTCGTCACCACAGGCGACTCGAGCAACGCGCTACTGCAGGCGGCTCGAGCAGCCGCGCTCGCGCAGGGCGGTACGTGGGCGCGCGTGGACACGTCCATGACATGTCCGAGACATGTCCGAGACATGTCCCATAGGCGGTACGTGGGAGAGCGTGGGCGGCGCGGGCAACAAGCTGCGCTCGGTCGCCGAGGGCCGCGCCGACCTCGCAATCATGCACTTTGGAACGAGTTTGTGGGATACCGCCGCGCCGGAGGCGCTCGTGCCAGCCGCCCTCCCCACCGCCGCCCTCGTCTCCTCCCTCGCCGCCGCCGCTCTCATACCCGCCGCCGCTGCCGCCATCGTCGCCGCCACCCTCGCCGCCGTCCTCCCCGCCGCCGCCCTCGCCTCCGCCGCCGTCCGGCATGCCGCCGCTCTCGCCCTCGCCTGCGGGCAGCCACAATACACTTAGCCGTCTGATTCCTCTCTTCTTCCTCGGTACAAAACCCCCTGGTACCCCTGCCGGCCCACTATGATTGCAACACCGCCTGCTGCTCTCTCACTGCCAGGCGCTCGTGCGGGCGAGCGGCGGGCGCGTCAGCGACCTCTTCGGCGCACCGCTCGTCCACCGCACGGGCGGCCCGCTCAAGAACGCCCTCGGCTAGGACACGTCCATGACATGTCCGAGACATGCCCGAGACATGTCCCATAGGCGGCCCGCTCAAGAACGCCCTCGGAGTGGTTGCGTCGGCAAAGGGCTGCGGCGCGGCCCACGCGTCCCTGTGCAAGGCGACGATACCTCCCCACATCTCCCACCATCTCCCCATCTCCCCATATCTCCCCATATCTCCCCATGTACGCGTCCCTGTGCAAGGCGATGCGGTCGGACCACTCACCAGGACACGTCCATGACATGTCCGAGACATGTCCATAGGCGATGCGGTCTGACCCGCGCGCCCTCGCCCTCCTCGCCGAGTCCGCCGGCCCGCGAGAGGCGTGAAGACACAGAACATCGCAGGGGGGGGGAGGGGGGGGGGGGGCACGCACGCGCAGCACACGGGGCTAGCTGCGGCTTACCAGACAGCCACACGCTGCCCCGTGGCCTCACTTAGCCTCCAGCTGAAGCTCCACGAACGCCGACCGGACTACAACCGACACACCCGTTCGGGGGCAAAACTCAATCGCAGCGCAGTGCGCGCAGGCGTGGGGCGCTCAGGCGGCCGACGTCGCCCGGGGCCTCGACGGGCGTCCGCTCACTAGGACACGTCCACGAATGCCCGAGACATGTCCGAGACATGTCCATAGGCCTCGACGGGCGTCCGCTCTGCCGCCGCTGGTTGGGCGAGGCGGTGGGCGGGGGCGAGCTGCTGCGGTACGACGCACCGGAGGAGGGCGCGTTCCGCGGGATGATGTCGAACGGTTGCCGGCTGGATCTCGTTTGGGGCGAAGGCGGGGGCGAGGGGGAGGGCGCCGGGGACAGCAACGGCGCCGAGGGCGGCGACGGGCGAGTGCGGCCGCGCAGCGCCTTCTACAAGCGGGTGGTGATGGGCGAGCTCGATGCTGCGCGCGATAAGGCGCGCGAGCAGCCCGCAAAGCTGGCGCGTGACGCGCGCTCGTTTGGCGTCGAGGCGCATATCTCCCCATATCTCCCCACATCTACATCTCCCCGTACCTCCCCGTACCTCCCCATACCTCCCCACACCTCCCCACACCTCCCCATACCTCCCCACACCTCCCCACACCTCCCCACACCTCCCCACACCTCCCCATACCTCCCCATACCTCCCCATACCTCCCCATACCTCCCCATACCTCCCCATACCTCCCCATACCTCCCCATACCTCGGCGCGTGACGCGCGCTCGTATGACGTCGAGGCGGGGTTCCTTGGCTCTGCCGCGTGCGCGCAGCTCCTGGCAGCGGGCGTGCACGCGCCGCGCGCGTACCGCGTCGAGATGCGGCCCGATGAGGCATCGCCGATCGACTCTGCCTTCTCGATGCTGCTCTCGGACTTCTCGCCCGAGGCGGGATGGACGCAGGTGGGGCTGCTGGACGCGTGGCAGGACACGTCCGCCACATGTCCGGGACATGTCCGAGACAGGTGCATGTGCATGTCCATAGGTGGGGCTGCTGGACGCGGGGCAGGCGCGCCATTTCCTCGCCGCCCCATGTGCCCCCCGTATCTCGCCATATCTCCCCCGTATCTCGCCATATCTCCCCCGTATCTCGCCATATCTCCCCCGTATCTCGCCATATCTCCCCCGTGTCTCGCCATATCTCCCGCAGGCGCGCCGCTCCCTCGCCGCCCTCGCTCGGCTCCACGCCTTCTTCTGGGAGGGAGGCGCCTTCTCTACCAGCGGCGGCGAGGCGGCGGCGGAGCTGGAGGCCGCGGTCTGGCCCGCCGGCATGTACACGCAGCCGTCGATGCAGCCGGCGGCGCAGTTCGACCGGCTAAGACACGTCCATGACATGCCCGAGACATGTCCGAGACATGTCCCATAGGCGGCGCAGTTCGACCGCCTCGCCGCAAAGTACACGGAGCACTCGGAGCGGCTCGGGCCGCGCTTCCACGCGGCGGAGGAGCTCGCCGGCGTCGATTCCGAGCGGCTTCAGACGCTCGGGCAGAGGCTGCAGCGCGTGGCGCGCGACGCCGCGGCCGAGTCCCACCCGTTCGACGACGTTGCCGCCGGCGCTGGCGGCGCCGGCGGCAACGCGGCACGCCGCTTCCGCACTCTCATTCACGGGGACCCGAAGGCGGCAAACTTGCTGCTGCACGAGGGCGGCGCCGTCGGCTTCATCGACTTCCAGTGGACCGGCTGGGGTGCGCCATATCTCCCCATATCTCCCCCATATCTCCCATATCTCCCCATATTTCAGTGGACCGGCTGGGGTGCGCCGCGCCCCACACCGCACCACTCTTTAACCTCTCCTCCCCCACCCCCTGTCTCGCCCCCAAGCGTTAACGCACACACCAACACCCCCCCACACCGATACCTCCGCCCCCCTGCCCCCCCGACCCACACACACACACACACACACACACACACACACACACACACACACACACACACACACACACACACACACACACACACACACACACACACACACACACACACACACACACACACACACACACACACACACACACACACACACACACGCACGCACGCACGCACGCACGCACGCACGCGCGTGCGCACGCACGCACGCACACACACACACACACACACACACAGCCCTCTTCCCCCTCTTCCCCTGATTGGCACAGGATTGGCGGCGACGGACGTCGCGCACCACGTCTGCGCCGCATTCGCTCCAGACGCGCTCGCGCAGGTGGGGGGCGCTGCTTGCGCGGCTACCACCTGCCGAGATCACGCGAGGTCACGCGAGATTGGCCGAGGCGTAGGAGGGCGCGCTGCTCGACCACTACCACGCGTCGCTCCTCGCGGCGGCCGCAGAGTTTGGCGGCGCGCCCTCGCTGCCCTCGCGCGCGCAGTTCCAGGCGCAGTACGTGGCGGCCATCCTCGACATGGGCCGCATCGTGCTCGCCTACCAGTGGTCGCGCGCCGACTTTGAGACGCCGTCGCTCAACCGCAACGGCTACAACAAGGACGTTCGGTGCGCCGCCTGGCTGGCGGCGCGGTGCGACCGCGCGCTCGCCGAGTGGGAGCGCGGGCGGGCGCGCTGAGCCGGCAGGGGCGCAGCTGCAGCTCCAGTGCAGGCCCGCGTGGACTGTGGTCCCAGCACGCGCAGGTGGCAGGTCCCAGTTGCGCAGCACCAGCAGGTGCAGGGTGCAGCGTGCAGGGCGAGCAAGTAAAGAAGCAGAGTACTCGCACGATTTCGAAAAAGAAAGTCTAAGAGCTCCGCATTCATATTTCATTGATAGACCACATATGAGCATAGATTTAGTGGGGCACGGTTCACTCTCCCTGTGCACAAGAGACATACCGACTGATCTGTACTGGCCGACGTGTCTGTACTGCACGCCGGGGCCGGCCGGGCGAGCCAGGCTCGTCGTTTTGACACGATCCGACCCTGCGACCCTGGCGCTGCTACTCTAGCTATCAGACATGCACTGCTGACTGCTGCCACAATGTGCCATTTCGAGGCGCACTTCAGAGCTGTCGATGGCGCGATGCCGCACTGGTCCCACATTTTGGTCACACGAGACCACACCAAGTTTTCCGGTCCAAGAGAGAGGCACTGGTGGCGCTGTCCTGAGAAGGTGCATGCTCTCTCTTGACTGCCCACAATGTGCGCGAGGCTGTGTAGGCATAGTCGTCTACACTGAATGCTGAAGACTATCTACAGATAAGGCCGCGAGCTAATTACGCAGGTGGTCAATTGTGCAGCAGTCAGCAGCGCCGACAGGCTAAAAAGAAAATATAAATGCCGCAAAAAAATCTCTCTAGAGCCTCTGGGGGACCGAGCCTATGGGGGACCCCATCTCCCCCCTCCATGGGTGGTAGCGGCGTGGCGTGGAGCGGTTGCGCATCCCTCCGGGGGCCCACCTCTGCGCCGGGGAGGCGTTGTTGGAGGCTAGGACGCAAGCGTCCGTCGCCCTTTTCAAACTCGGGGCCCACTCCGCTACGCTCCGACCCGAATTTGGAGGGCCTAAAAAGTTTAAGGTGTTGCTGCGCAACAGGGGTCGGACACAGGGGTTGTACCGGTTCTGGCTTGTCAGGGCGCCGTGCGTGGCTGGTCAGAGCAGTCCTGCCTCCCAACGCTCGCCAGATTGCCGCAGCCAACCCGGTCTCGCTGAAAAGAAGAAAGTTTGGCCCAACGGAACTGGCGCGCACTGGCACTAACTCGAAACCATGTCAGCAGTCAGCCTTGGAATGTTGTAAGCGCCACATAAACTGAATTCGGCGCGGTGCCGTCCCTGTCTTGCCTCGCTCGCAAGAGCCTTGATCTCCGCCTTCACACACACCCGCCCCCGCTCTCGGGCTCGAGTTCTCGGGCCCTGGCTCGGGCATCTCAGACCCCAGAGCGCTTGGAGCACCACCCACAGCTCTGGCCACTCGCTGGGTCCACTGTGGCGTCGATCCTCCCAGGTACATACATACACGAGAGAGAGAGAGAGAGATCCCCTTTCTCCCATCAAGATAAGAGAATTCTTTTTTGGGACCATCGCTTTGCTGAGAGATGTGTGTATCGCGCGCCTTGCGGGGGGGGCGCGGAAAAGAGGAACCTCTTAGCGCCCTCGCCATGGTGCTGCAAGCAGCGCCGGGCGACGACGACTTACCGCCTCCCGGTCCCCCTCGGCACACCTCCGCTGCTCAATGTTTGACGACTCGAACCCGTGAAGCTTCCCCGCGCGCGGGTTACCCCGCACACGGGTCAGCCTGCCAGCCACAAATCCACGCAAGCGTGGTCCGCGCGCATGGCATACAGGCGTCCGCCAGACAGCGCAGAGGCTAGGCGACCGGGGAAGGACTAGCTCAAGGGCAACACAGCGTCACCAGCCGTTGGCGCGCAGAACGAGTCAGCGGCCCCCGGTTGGGACGAGTGCGATCAGGCGCCTAAATCTAGTTTTAGACGCCGTCCCGGGGCCCGGGGCATGTTGTTCCTGTTGCGAGCAAACTCTGATGTCGCATCGGAGCGAGGAGCGTCGCTGGCGTGATGATCAACGGCGCGCCGAGTACGGACGCGAAGAGCGGCGATGGCGGGGCGAGCCGCGACGGCGGTCGCGATCGCGCGATGAGCCGCGGCGGGATGAGCTGCGACGGCGCAACGAGCGTTGGCAAGGCGAGCCGCACCATGACGGGCGGCATGACGAGCGGCGCGGCTACAACGCCTCTTGGTGCAGTGGCCGCGAGCAGCGATGGCACGCTGAGCCACACGCCGCTGAGCGATGGCGCGACGAGCCATTGCGAGGCGAGCGATGGCCGCATCATGACGGGCGGCACGTTGAGCGGCGCGGCTGCAACGACCGACCAAGCATGGGCGAGCGCGAGCGCGACTTGTACGATCGGCGCGATGATCGGTCCCACGATCCCAGGCGCGACCATGACCGGCGCGACCGCCGCGGCGAGGGGCAGCCTCAGCACAGCGACCGCCGGTTGAGTCCGCCGATGCGTGGTGCGGGATCGCGCGACGAGAGGCACACCTCTGCTGCCGGAGGTCAGCTCGATGCTAAGCAGCTCAGCGGCCGTATCTCGCATGCCAGCGGCGCCGACGAGCTGCTCAGGCTCTTTGCTGCCCACAGCGCGATCTTGAACCACATCCACGCTGCGAACCTGTGGAACAAACTGGGCAAGCAGCGCATCGAGCGGCGGCACGAGGGGCGGCTTGAGCAGCTGGTGCAGCGCACGCTCGACCTGGTTTCTTCGTGCCGAGCACGCGAGCTGGCCAACGTGTCTCACGGCGTTGCAAGGTGCGGCCTGCAGGCGAGGGTGGTGCACCCGTTGTTCGTAGCGGTGGCGGAGGCGGCGGTGCGGAGCGGGCTGGCTGGCTTCAACCCTCAGGACATGGCCAACACGGTGTGGGCGTATGTGACGGCGGGCGTGGCTGCAGACGCGCTGTACGCGGCGGTGGCGGAGGCGGCGGTGCGCAGCGGGCTGGCTGGCTTCAAGCCTCAGGAACTGGCCAACACGGTGTGGGCGTATGCGACGGCGGGCGTGGCTGCAGACGCGCTGTACGCGGCGGTGGCGGAGGCGGCGGTGCGCGGCGGGCTGGCCGGTTTCAACCCTCAGAACCTGGCCAACACGGTGTGGGCGTATGCGACGGCGGGCGTGGCTGCAGACGGGCTGTACGAGGCGGTGGCGGAGGCGGCGGTGCGCGGCGGGCTGGCCGGCTTTACGCCTCAGGACATGGCCAACACGGTGTGGGCGTATGCGACGGCGGGCGTGGCTGCAGACGCGCTGTACGCAGCGGTGGCGGAGGCGGCGGTGCGCAGCGGGCTGGCTGGCTTCAACCCTCAGAACCTGGCCAACACGGTGTGGGCGTATGCGACGGCGGGCGTGGCTGCGGACGCGCTGTACGCGGCGGTGGCGGAGGCGGCGGTGCGGAGCGGGCTGGCTGGCTTCAAGCCTCAGGACCTGGCCAACACGGTGTGGGCGTATGCGACGGCGGGCGTGGCTGCGGACGCGCTCTACGAGGCGGTGGCGGAGGCGGCGGTGCGCAGCGGGCTGGCTGGCTTCAAGCCGCAGGACCTGGCCAACACAGTGTGGGCGTATGCGACGGCGGGCGTGGCTGCGGACGCGCTCTACGAGGCGGTGGCGGAGGCGGCGGTGCGCGGCGGGCTGGCCGGCTTTACGCCTCAGGACATGGCCAACACGGTGTGGGCGTATGCGACGGCGGGCGTGGCTGCAGACGCTCTGTTCGCGGCGGTGGCGGAGGCGGCGGTGCGCAGCGGGCTGGCTGGCTTCAAGCCGCAGGCGCTGGCCAACACGGTGTGGGCGTTTGCGACGGCAGACCAGTACCACGCGCTGCTGTTCGCCGAGTGCTCGCGCGTGGTCAGCGGCTCCCTTTGGGAGGGTCCGTCGGGTTATGGCATCGAGGAGCGCCGTCAGCTGCACCAGTGGCAGCTCTGGCTCTTTTTGGAACACGCCGCAGACGCGCAGCAGCACCTTCTCTCCGAGTCCGAGCGGCGGCTCTGCTGCGACGCCATGCACGATACACAAGTGAGGGTCTCGGCGCTGCAGCGCTCCGTCGCGGCTGCCCTCGCCGCCGTCCGTTTCGGCTTCGAGGAGGAGTACGTCGAGCCGCGCACCGGCTACTCGCTCGACCTGGCGCTGCCCTCTTCACGCATCGCGATCGAGGTGGACGGCCCGACTCACTTCCTGCTGCCCGACGGCCGGGGTGTGCGCAAACCCAACGGGCACACGCTAATCAAGCGGCGCCTCCTCGCGGCGGCCGGCTGGCGGGTGATCAGCGTTCCGTTCTTCGAGTGGGACGGCTTGCATTCGGCCGGTGAGCGGCAAGCCTACCTGGAGTGGGTGGTCGCCTCGCAATAGTAGTCTACTCTTGTACCACCGAGCGCGGCCCCCCCAGAGAAAAGCTGTGTGAGAGAGAGCCCGCGGCGACAACATATCTCATATGTGTAGAGCCGTACTGTAGTCCGTGTTTACAAGTTGCGGGACATCTTTCTTCTTACATCAGACTTGTGTGAGGAGAGTGAGGTACACCGCACGTACTCGTACTGTGGTGCCCCAAAACAGCCAACACGCAACAGGGTTCGAGGGTGTACACTCCTTATCTTCGTACTTCGAATAAAATTGCATGTCGCCGCCTGCATATCTCGCCGCCTGCATGTCGCCGCCTGCATAAAATTGCATGTCTCCGCCTTCGGCCTCCCCGCCGCCCGCCTCCGCGCCAGGCCTCCACGGCCCGCCGCCCATCCAAGCGCCTCCTGAGCGGCATGCGGCCGGCGGCGGTCCGCCTGGTGGGGCCAGCGGCGGCCCGTCTGGCGAGGCCGGCACCGCGGACCAGCTCGCTGCTCTGGAAGCGATGGAGGTATACCACATTCTCGATGGTCGACCCGGCGTCGAGACTTTTCGCTCCGCCCGACCAGGGCCGCTTTCCGCGGCTGCACTACGAGCTTTACGGCTCCGGCGTGCCGCCGACCGGTTGTGACGGCCGCCCGTGGCAGGCCCTGGACGCAGATGCCACCGGCGACTGCGTGGTTGCGTCGTGCGGTTGGCAGCTGCAGCGCGTCTTGGAGCCGGCCGTGCTTGAGGCGGCGGGGTTCGGGGCGGGCGGAGGCGTGCGGGCGGATTGCAGCTCTCTGCGGCAGGCAGTCCGCCAGCATTTGTCCGTACCCGAAGTCCTCGGGCGCCGCCTCAGTCAACCGTACGATGTGGGCGGCGCTGGCGTCGTCTTGACCGTCCGCGACGCGCTCCTGGCAGCGCACGCCGCTTGGCCTTCGGCGGCATCCGGCACGGCGACGGCGGCGGCGGCCGAGCGGTGGCGGACGCCGGGGGTGCGATGAGCGAAGGGTAGGTGGCCGCGCGCATCGCTGCGGCGGAGGACGCGGACCTAGCCGCCTTTCTCGAGGGCGTCGGTGGGCGGCAGTACGGGTGCGACGGCTTTCTCCTCGGGGTTGCCGACCTCTTCCACGTAGCCATCGTGGTTGACTCGTTTTCTGCGCCCGGGGCGAGGCGGACGGACGTCTTTTGGCCCACCGACGTGGCCACCGTCCGAGCCGGCCTGCACCTCTTCCTGGAGCGGGACGGGCACTGTGTCGGTATCGCCCGTGTGGGCGGCGCCCCGGAGGTCCTCGGCAGGGACCGCCAGCTTCGCCCAGCGAGGCCGGGGCCGCCCTCGGCATCGGCACAGCGCTCCGAGACGACGCGCCGGGGCCGGGCCCTTCGGGCAGCGCTGCGGCCTCGGCGACGGGCGCGGCTGGCGACGCGGCGACGCCTATCGACGTCGACGCCCCGTCGCCGTCCGGGCCATCCCGGCCGCAACCGCCGCCATCCGACGACGTTTGCCCTGTTTGCCCCGAGGACGACGACGTCGATGGCGGTGGTGGCGACGACCTCGACGAGGGCGTGCCCTCGGCCTTCCGCCCGCAGGGGGTGCCTGAGGTCCGCTGCCCCCATTTCTCCCTCACCGACCCTACCGTCGCTGTTGGGTGCTCCCGCTGTCTGCCGACTTGGGCGGGCCCTCGAGGTTTTGGCAACGCAGACGAGGCGCGCTCCTTCACCTGCCTCGCCGCCCACCTCAACAGCGAGTCCGCTTCGCATCAGCTTGGCGCCGACCTCTTCGAGACGGAGTGCCTGGACATGGGCGTAAACCAGTGCCCGCTCCCCGGATGCCGCAGATGGTGCGCGACCGTGGGAGCCAAGTGCGGCCTTTATCAGCACCTCTTCAAGTGCGACCAATCCTACCGAGGCGAAGCGGGCGACCCGCGTTGGCAGGATGGGCGCGAGGGCTTCATGCGGCTTCTGCAGCAGCGGGCTCGACCGGGCTCGGCGGCGCACTACTTTCGGACCGGCAAGCAGCCGCAGGCGGACAGGAGCGCCAAGCACGCCCGGTGGGTCGCGGACACGGCGAGGCACGGTCCAGGGAGGAGGAGGGCGCCGAGGGCGACCCCGAGGCTCGACGCCGAGCCAGGGCGGCCTCCAACGCTGCGCGCAAGGCCGCTTTCCGCGACCGCGGGTCCCAGCATGTCATCTCCAGCCCTGGGGTCCAGTACTCCTACGAGTGGCTTCGACCGTGGGCAGACAACTCGAGGCTGCTCGCCGCCATCGACACGGTCCGGCGCCGCCACCCGCCCGCCGGGGCGCGGCGCGAGTACTACGGCATGCTTTTCCATGGCATGAGGCTGCTCCGAGACAATATCTCTACCCACCCCGGACGCCGGCTTGTACATCGCTTTCCTCGCCTTGGCCAAGATGGTGACTGTCAATCACGTGCGAGAGGGGGGCCGCGCGCGGTCGAAGTCGGAGATCCTCGGGCGAGTCCGCGCCGTTATGACGGGGGGCTCGAGGAGCAGGTCCGCGCGATGGTCTTGGAGTACCCCCTAGGGGCTCCGTCTGCGCCCCCCCAGAGGCTCGGTCTCTCTCGATCACCACGAATTCGTTTACCGGCCCGTGAAGCCGTCTGTTAGACTGATCGTGACCCGAAAGTCTATTAGTGCTTTTTCGCGGGAAATGTTTCTCAGCGTCGTCCGTCCGTTCCTCCCTTTGACGTCCCCGCTCCGGCGAGCATGGAAGACGCGTCGCTTCGTGTACGCCGCCGCGCCGTATCCGCTGCTGCGGGCTCCAGCGAGGCAGAGCATCCGCCCGTCCGGCGTCACCGGACCGAGCCGCTCCCGCAGACTCGCCAGATCGTCAGGATAGTGTCGCACGAGGCACCGAGTACTCAGGTTTCGGCTGCTAGGTGTACACCGTACCATATGCGCCGGCATTGCTGAGCGCCCGCGACGGAATAGCAAACCTCCACTCTCAGCCATACCTCGCTCACCCAGGAAGATCTCCACTCCCTCTTCTTCCGGGCGACCTTCGCACGCAGGACGGCTTCCTCCCGCGCATGTCCCTCCGGCTCGACGAGACAGGAGGCGGTCCATCAGCCTCTCGGCGGTCCATCAGCCTCATCGTCCGGCGGCGGCCGCGGGCGGGATACGTCAAAACCACCACCATCTCCGTCGATCTGCGGCACCTTCTGCCGACGGTGCTGATCGGAGGGCTGTTGCTGCTACCCCCTGCCTCGGGCATGACGCTGCCATTGTCGGCCGAGGAGCTGAGCGCCCTTGCCCGTGCGGTGGACACGGCAAATGCGGCTGGCCTGCTCGACACGCCCAGCGCCGAAGGCACCTGCTTCAGCCACGACCTGCTCGCTTGGTCGGTGGAGGTGGTAGTGCTCTCCGCAATTTGCGCAGCCCTTATTGCTGGCGCGTCCCACTCTCGGTATGTGCAAAGGTGTTCCAGAGAACGCTCTCCTTCAGCTCGAGGGTGCGCGTCCAGCAGGGCGGGAGCGGCGGCGACGTGGCGGAACTCGGGGACGACGACGACTGGGACGACCGCGTCCTCACGGTTGGTGTCGAGGGGGCGTCCAAGGCTGCGACCGCAATCGCGCTCTCTGCCGCCCTCGTGCTGGCCACGCTCTTGCTCACGCTGGGGGCACGCCCTGCCGGCCGGGCAGCCCGCCCCGGAGATCGCGCGATACGTTGCAAGCGTGATGTGATATAGGAGTACCTCGTCAGCGGAGTCGTCCTCGCCGCGGGCAGCGGCGCGAGCTTTGTTGGGCTGCTGTGGGTGTGGAATGCGGTGCTCAAAGGTCAGGAGCTCGACTGGACTCGATGCACGATGCCCTCACTTCTCGCTGCCGGCTGCGCCCTGCTCTCCACCCTGCTGCTGCTGCTGCTGCTGCGAAAGGTTGTTACATTTTCCATCTTCGCCGTCGGCGCTGCGGCCGGCGTCGTCGGGGCTCTCTCCCTCCGCTCATTCCTCTACGCCGAGAACCCGGCACGCTGCGTTGTTCTGCGCCGCGCCCGCGGCAGCTCGGTGCAATCTTGGTCTCGTGTCATTCGCTCCAGGCGCTGGTCGACGACTCCGACTTCTCAACCTTCTTTGTCGGCCTCACCGCCGCCTCCGGGCTTGCCTGCGGCGTCATCGCCGTCTGCCTCGAGCGTCCGGTCCTGCTCCTCGCGTCGTGCTGCATTGGCGGGTGCGAGTGTCGCAAACACCGTCTCCATTTGGTGTATACTCGCTACTGCTAGCACGCAACGGACCACCAACCATCCGTCCCAGGTACGCCTTCGCCGTCGCTGTCTCCGGCCTTGTGTCCCTCCGCCATAACGAACCCCTCGCAGCGTGGGCCTTCCTGCTGGTGGCATTGCTCGCAGCCACAACGGGTCTGATCGTACAGGTCTGCGTAACCCGCGTGCGATGCGGCAAGAAGAGGGAACCCAAGGGTCACACGCGAATGATGAAGTCGAAAGCGTGATGGAAAGCAGGGCGTGGCCGCCTTTTTGGCCACCCACCCTCACCACCTCCAAAATGAGAAGTGACCCGAGCCGCCGGGTGCCCCGCAGCGGCCTCGCTGGACCAGAAGAACCGGTCCGCGAGTGCTCCGCAGCAACCTCGCTGAGCCAGAACGTCGGCTCGCGAGAGGTGGGGTGCTAGTATGAGCCCGACCCAGGTCGTAGTGGTTCTTGCTCCCAGGACCCAGCGCTTGTGCGCTTCGGCGGTTAGTGGTGCACTAACCTCCGAGAAACCCATCGGGTCGCTCCTCATCGCAGACCCTGTCAGCAGTCCTCCTCCGGGAATGTACGAGTACGTAAGAGCTACATACACTCCATCGCTTCGGTGAAGGGGGTGAACCGCGCCATCCTCGATCGCCGTGCAAAGCTCGCTTCCGAGCTCTCACGCCGCGCGTAGGGCCCTTAGGGGCCTAGAGAACACCACCCCCTCTCTCTTTCTCCCACTAAGCTGAAAACGACCCCCCCCAATGAACACACCAGTGAGGGAGGGCGAGACGATCGAGGGGTCCCGTACCATGCGGAATCGACCCTATCCAGTGCTCAAGTGCTCAAGAAAACGTACACTGAAAATCGCCTCTCTAAACATCGCGGAACACCTTCGAAGCATCAAGAGTCCCCCCCAGAACTATGTGTAAACCCCGAATTCTTGATGAAGTGTCGAGGCACGCGCACGCGAAACGCGACGTGCAGGGCACCCCCTACCTCGACCGAACTGGTGACAAAGCTCCCCCCGTCTGCGCATTGGCCCTGCTCGCTGCGAGCAGCCCCTGCAACGCCGCCCCCAGCCGCACCCGCCCTCGCGGGGGCCTCTGACCCCAGTGGTCTGCGCGCTCGGCCTGCGCAGGACAGAGTGCCCGAGAGGATCTAGCATGGCAAAGAACCATGACTTGCATGCGCGGCGGTGGAGGAGTCGCGAGAGCCTGCCCAAGCTGCCACTCTCCGCCTGCTTCGGGCGTGCCGCCGACGGCTCCCTCGAGTCCAGCAGCCGCGAAGTGCTGCAGCAGTTCCGGCTTGAGTGCCTCGCTGAGGCGCGATCCTCTGTGCAGTCCTTCTTGCAGCGGGAACGCGAGCTGATGGCGCGGCTTCCCGGCTCGCTCGGCGGCGCCAACGAGGAGGCCGCTGCCCTCTTCTCGGAGGTGGCCGCCTTCCGCGCTGCGGCCCTGCGCGAGCGGGCGCGGTTGCAGGTGGCATCTCTCCCTCACGCCGCCTTGCCCCACCCCCCCTCCCTGTCCGCGTTCGCTCCCCTCCCCCCTCCCCCTCACAACACTCTCTGCCCGTGCAGCGCGTTTGCTGGGCCTGTGACGGCATGCTGCGGGAGCGGCTGCAGCGCACGAGCAGCCCGGGCAGCGGCGTGGCAGCGGCCGACGTCAGCGGCGGCGCCAGGCCTGATGCGGACGCGGACCCCTCACCGCTCGTGGAGATGCTCGCGTCGGACCCTTCCTTTTGCGCTTTTGACCTGTCGCTGCAGCATTCGCTGCTCTTTGAGGAGTTGGCACGGTGGCAGGAGGCGGACGCGCGGACACGGCTGGCGCCAAAGTCGAGCAACCGCATGATCGCCGCCTCTCCGTCAGCCAGCGCTTCCCCCCTCTTGCCCCTCTCGCCGCAGCCGCCCGTGCGGCGCGCTTGGTCAAGGCGGCTAGACTACGGCGGCGGCGAGGGGGACGACATCTTTGAGTGGCGAGGCTAGCGGCGGGGATCGCGCCGCCCCCAGCGCTTTGCATGTAGCGTGCGCGGTCCGGCGGGGCGGGATGTTGACGCTGGCACGGGCCGGCGCACATAAGGTGGCGGAGATGAGCTTTGGCTTTTGCAGAGTCAGTGCTCCCCTGAGCATGAGCATGACTGATGCACCAGCATGAAACTGGTGAAGACGATGGTACAATGGGTCGTGTTGTGCAGTGCACATCTCTGTGCTCTCTGTGGACCCAAGCTGCGCACTGGAGAGAGCGTGATGGGTGTTCGCGATAAGACCAAGAGCCACATACACCCATACGCCGGGAGAACAGCACACCGCACCCGTCGACCTGCCCTTAACGGTAACAGAATGCGGCACGCGCCGCGCCGCTCGCGTGTCGCGAGCCACGCGGCCATCGTTCTCGCTACTTCACCCCACGGCTGCTCTTTCCCGCGCGCACGCCAACGCTCTCCACACAGCGCCGCGCGCTGCCCGCGCACCCGAGCGTCACACATGTTGGTCGGGGCGAGAGAGTGGGGGAGAGTCACGACTCGAGCTTTGATGCGCATCATTCGAGCTTTTCTCCGCGCTGTCGGCGCCCACCAGCGACTTTCGCTCAGCGGCGTCCGCATCCGGACACCACGAGGTGCAGCAATCGATCGGCAAGGCGTTCCCTACGGAGCAAGAGGGAGAGACGCTGCGGAAACGGAGAGGGGACAGCGACGGCGTCGTCGAGCGGCAAGGCGGAGCCCCTTCCCTATCCCATCTTCTCCCAGCCAGCGACCAACTGCAGCGGCTTCTTCATCTCAGGCGGACGCGGGCCACGAGGTGGCGGCGGAGGCAGCGGTGGGGGTGACAGCGGAGGGGGTGGCGGCGGAGGCAGCGGTGGGGGTGGCAGTGGAGGTGGTGGAGGTGGCGGAGGTGGCGGTGGTGGCGGAGGTGGCGGAGGTGGCGGAGGTGGACTGGCAGCAAGCAGACGGCCGTGGTTGGGCCACGCCTCGTAATCTCGGGTAATCTCGGGTAATCTCGGGTAATCTCGGGTGTGCCTCGCGGCCACACCTCGGCGGTTGCATCTCGGCTGCCCCCGCACGCGAGGACCACCCCCGTGCCGAGTGCGTGGGCCTCTCCACTCTCCTCTCTCACCGTAGAGCAGGATTGCCAGCCCGACGAGGCACACGCCAAAGACAAACGTGGGGGTGATCTGAAAGTCGAAGAGAAAATACCTGCGCGGAGGGGCCGCAGCGTGTGAGCAGACGCCGCCCACGGCGAGCGGCGGCGCGTGGCGGGCGGAGCGCACGAGGCGACGGAGGAGACGATGATCGCGACCGCCTGCGCGAACCCGCGCACCTAGTACCATACCTCCGCAGTATCGAACCCAGCCTGGGTTCGGTCCCGTGGGTGGTGCGGTCTCGCGCACGATGTTGTCGGCGTACTTGATCGTGATTGCGACGAGCAAGCCGCCCGCGACGTTCATCATGACGGTCGCCCACGTGTAGGCCCCGAAGCCGTGCAGCCACCCCTCGCTCGCGCGCGCCGCGTCCTCCTCCTGCAGCACCGTCGCCGTCGCGACGAGCCCGCAGTAGATAGCGAGCTGGATGTTGCGCAGCCTGTTCACAGCTACGGGTGTGAAGAGACGCTGTTCATAGTAGATAGCGAGCTGGATGTTGCGCAGCCAGAGCGACGGCTTCCGCGACCCCTTGAGCATCCGCTCAAAGTAGACGGAGGCGAAGGAGGTGCACAGCGCCGCCGTCAGCATCGCCACGATACCGAGCGCGACATCCGAGCCCATCGCATGTGCGCTCGGAGGCACTGCCGCGGGAGCGCCGGCGCCGGCCGCCAACTGGCGATCCAGAAGCGGCGGAGGAGGCACTGCGGGCGGGTGGCCCGGGTGGCCCTTGCTGCCGTGCCCCTTGAAGAGCATCTTCGGTCCGGCGCCATAAGGGCTGGAGAGCAGCCTGCCGCCCGCCATACCGCTGCCCCTCGCAGGCTCGGCCGCGTACTTCTCCAGCAGCTTGGAGAGGATCCCCTGCACTGAGATGACGCCGAGCACGAGGCTCGAGAGGCCGGCCCACTGGGACAGGCCGAGCTGCTTGCCGAGCAGGGCGATGGAGAAGAGGGCGGTGAAGAGTATCTTGGTCTGGTACGTCACGTGCGCCACCGCCGCGTCCAGGTGCGACAGCCCGATGAACAGGCAGTTGTTTTGCACCGTGTAGAGCACCGCAGGGATGCCGAGCTGCACCCACTCCATGGCATTCTCGCGCAGGTCGGCGCGGATGGCGCGAATCGCCTCGAGCGGCCCACCCGTCTCGTGCATGTACAGTCCCATGCTCAGCAGCAGCTTGACTCCCTCCTGCACCAGCACCGCCACGCGGGTCGAGTACGGCGTGCCCGGCACGTTGCGCGACAGCTTCATCAGCAGGACAACGCCCGCATTCTGGAATATGAAGATGGCGAGCGCGCCCCACTTGAGGGCAGCCGCGCTCGGCATGGCCCCCCAGCGGCAAAGTTCGGGACGCGGTACACAGCTCGCGCCGGGCCTTGTGTGGGATGCTCAGTCCTCGTATACTGTGCAGCGTGGTAGTTCTTTTACTTTTTTCCAGCCTGGACCAGACAATACCTTACCTAACCACTGTTCTTCAGTACATACATACATACCACGTAGCCTCGCGATCATCCAGCGTACCGCGCCCCCCCACCAAGACACGACAGCACGTCCGAATCAGCTGCATCCGAATACCGGTACGGCGGCGGGGGGTACGATGGCATGTAAAAGCGGGATTCACCCGGCTCCCGGGTCCGCCCCGCCTCGCGGACCTCGCACACCTCTACCCCTAGCTCTACCCCAGCGAGTGCCGCCGCGGCAGCGCCCGCCGCGGCTCCTGCGGCTCGGGCACGCGCCGCACCACACCAAGGTCGAGCGGCTTGGGCGGGGGGGCGTCTCGGTGCGATGCGACGCCGTGCATGACGCTCGAGGGGGAGGGCATCCCGTGCTGCGCCTTTGGGAAGGTGAAGGCGTCCTCGTACCTGTGGACGTGTCAGGGGACGCGTCAGGGACGCGTCGGTGGTGGGTGGTGGGTGGGTGTGTGGGGGGGGGGGCTGGCAAATCTTTGCGAGCAGAGTGGAGGCGGAGCTGTCGACGGGGAGTGTGTGGCACGGGCGGGTGGGGCAGACAGCGCGGTGAGCCAGGAAGGGTGTGTCTCGGAGACAGCGCGGTGAGGGAAGAGGGCAGCCAGGAAGGAAGTGTCTCGGAAGCGTCCTCGTACTCGAGCTCGTCTCCGAGCGCGAACAGCAAAGTCGGAGGCGTCGACGGCACCTGAGGTAAGGGAGAAGCGGGGCCCGCTGATCTCCCGGTGATCTCGGGCAATCTCGGCTATCTCGGGCGTAGAAGCGGGACCCGCTGGCTCCAAGAACCCCCACGCCGCAGCAAAAACCCACACACCGCTGCCACGGCCAGAGCCAGCAGAGTCGCAGGCCAGAGCCAGGGGGGGGAGGGGAGGGGGGGGGGGGTTCAGCGAGGCTAAGCAAGCGCCATTCGGCGAGGAGAGAGGAGAACCAAGGAGCGGCTGTCAGGCTGGATCTCGGCGATCTCGCGCCGGCTCTGCCGTCGGCTTGAGCAGCGGCGAGCCGTCCAGCTCTCGGCCCTCCTCCGCTGTGACGATACGCTGCAGCACGTCGAAGATGATGCCGTTGCAGCTCGACGTCTCGGCGCTCACGCACTGCACCTGTGATCTCGGCGAATCTCGGATGACCTCGGGTATTGGGGTAGGACTCTCGAGTACACGGGCGCACTCTCTTCTTTCTCTTCTCTCCCATCTCTCTCTTCTTTTTCTGTTCTCTAATCTCTCTCTCTCGCCTCTCTCCTCTCTCTCTTCTCCCTCTCTCCTCTCTCTCTCTCTCCTCTCCCTCTTTTCTCATCCCTCTCCTCCATTCTCTCTCTCTTCTGCACCCGCTCGCCCAGCACGGGCGCGCCTGGAAGGGGGGAAAGGGAGGAGGAGCGGGTCGGCGAGGGCGCGCGAAAAAGGGGGGGGCGTGCCTCGCTGTCTGTCTCCTCTCGACTGTCTTGTGCGTGATCTTGGGGAGACGGGCCGCGGGCTGTTGTTGGGCGGCGCGAGAGGGCGGGCGATGCGACCCTGCAGGGTGGGGAGATCTGGGGAGATCTGGGGAGATCTGGGGAGACGCTGCCAGGCGCGTACACCACTGCCACAGCGCCGAGGGTGGGGGGGGCGCGCTGTCACAGGGCGAGGGACATCACACAGCGCGACGGGGCCTGACACACGGCGTGTAGGGGGAGGGGGGGGAGGGGGGGGGGGGCTGCGAGAGTTGCTCGCCGAGGAGCTTGAGCCCTCGCAGCCGGCACACGACGACGGCGACGCCCTCACTGGCGGCGAGGGGGGGAGGGGGGTTGAGGGGGGCGGCCAAGGCGGCGGCGGCATGGGTGGGGGTGGCGAGGGAGGCGGCGACGGTGGAGGTGCGGCGGCGAGGGCCTCTGCAGTGACTTGAGCGCGGACTGCCCGCCGATGATGGCGGTGCGCTGCCGTTCGAAGAGGTCGAAGGCCCACGAGGGCTGCAGCCGCCCGCCGCACCCGATTGCGTCGGGGTGCACAGTCACGCACAGCTCGCGCTGGCGGGACGTGGCCAGCGGCTCGCAGCGCGCAAACTGTGGCGTGGGCGTGCGGTTCTCGCGCAGGCACGCCATCAGCGGCCGGTAGAGCGGGTGGCCGGGCCGCGGGACGTCGAGGCCGGCGAGCGCCGCGCCGGGAGGCTTGGAGTAGCTCATGACGCTCGTGTTGCACACGTCGGGCTTGCTGCAGTCCTCCGACGAATCGGCAACCCACGCGTGCAGCAGCCGCACGACGCCAGACTCCTCCTCGCACGCCGCCGGTGGGCAGAGGAACGTGACGACGTTGATACTCTCGCCCCACCTGGCGGGCCTGCCAAAGATCATGCTCTCGACGCTGCTCAGCACCAGCGGACTCCCTGCGGCCTCGCTCGCGGCCCGCTCGTTGTACTTGACGTACTGCGCGTAGTAGAGGAAGGCGTAGGCATCGACGTCAGACATGCCGGCGGTGAGCTCGAAGGTCGACCTCGCCGGAGTGCTGGCTGCGTCCACCGCGCCCAGGCGGCGCGGGGGCGCGGGCGAGACGGCGGCGGGACCGAGCAGCATATCTTAGCGAAGTTGGCTCGTTAATGAAGTTCTGCGATGACACCACGCTCCCACCTCTGCTTCACCTTCCTTATCACCCTGATGAGGCGTATCTAGCACCAACGGCTTGAGGCCGGGTAGCGCAGCGTGGCTTGGCCACGGGTTGTCGTGCTCGTCGTGCTGAACGTCTCGCGCAGGTCGGGCACGCGGAAGTCGGCCTTCTCGTCGCCGACGCCGAGGTAGGATTCCTAGCCGCGGTTGGCCTCGGCCGAGCCGAAGGCGCACGCGCGCTCGGCCTCGGGTGGCAGCTCGAAGAACTTGGCACTCTCACCCCACGCACTCTCGGTGAGATTGGGTGGCAGGCCGTGATTGACGAGCGTCACAAAGCCAATGAGCAATGTCCTTTGGCCTTTATACGTTATTCTTCCGATTCTATATTCTTTTTCGAAGCGATTTTTAGCGATTTTCAGCGGGAATATAAAGAATATTTGAGAATATAGGCCCGATTTGGAGCTGTATTCTTGGCATATTCGAGAATATAGACCCTGTTTGGGATCTCCATGTGGGCGGTGTTGTGCAGATGATACCACACGGGGGGTGACGGGTGAGAGGCGCGCCCTGCAGCCTGCTGCCGCCGCACAGCCTCGCCGCTCCTAGTTGAGCGCCACTTTGCGCAGGCGCGGGCCGAGGTCGTCGGCGCCCTGCACCGCGCCCTTGAGCAACAAAAAAAATTTCGGAGGACAAGGCGGACGCACACGCACGATTCACACGACAGACAAGGCGCAGAGGACGGCTTCCTGTAGAAGCCGTCGTCCTCGCCACAAAAGCCGCCGACCGAACACTTCAAAAAAGAAAATCGATTGGCGCGCACTCGCACTCACACAGGTGCAGCGACTCAGGAGGCTCCTCGGTGTGACTCCCACGCCGAGGCGCAGGCGGCCTCCCCGTCCCGCTTGCCAAATCAAGCACTAACTCATGCCCCCGCGCCCCCGCCCGGGGTTGCTACAGGGCCGCAAGGCCAAAGTGCTCCCGCCCATTCACCATCGGCGCCAGTGCCTCCCATACGTTCAAAGCCGGATCGTACCGCTCCACTGACTTGGCAGCCCCATCGCCGTCGCCTCCTGCCGCATACAGCTTGCCATCGAGGACCGCGACGCAGTGGTTTCTCCGCGCCGTCGCCATCGGTGCAATCTTTTCCCACACGTTTGCAGCCGGGTCGTACCTTTCCGCCGAGCGGAGAGGGAGGTGATTCCAAGATTCACCGCCGACCGCGTAGAGCTTGCCGTCAAGGGCGGCCATGCCAGGACAGGCCCGCGCCGTCCTCATCGGTGCGACTCGCTCACAGCGCGGACGGCGAGGGAGGGGCTCAAGCTCCTCGTCGGAATCGATATTCGGGGGCCTCCAAGGTGGCTCTGGATCCAAGCGTGCAGCGGGATCGTACTGCTCCACGGCGTTAAGGTACGTGTCGTCTCCTCGCATATAGCCACCCACAAAGTAGACTTTGCCGTCGAGCCCACCCACGCCAACATTGGACCGTTCCATGAGCCAAGGCATCAGGGGAAATTCCCATTCATCCGTTGCCGGGTCATAGCGCTCAACCGATCTCCCGCCCACCACATACAACTTGCCGCGAAGCGCAACAGCTGCGATACGCCGTGTCGTAACTTGTCTCATCGGCGCCATGGTCTGCCACACATCCGCATACGGGTCGTAGCTTTCGACCAAATTGATGTCTCTGCCGTTCGAACCCCCTAGCACATACAGCTTGCCGTCGAGCACCGCCACAGCATGCTCGCATCTCGCCCCGCCCTCGCCGAACCAACCGCGTGCTCTCACTGACGTCACCAGTGTCCACGAGTTCGTAGCAGGATCGTATGTTTCCACTGAGCTCAGCAGCTGAGTCCCTGGAGTGCACCCAGCCACCGCATACAGCCTAGTCTCGCCGCTGCGTCGCTGCGGTAGCGTGGCGCTCAGGGTGGCCTCGAGAAGTAGGTTCCTGCACGCCAGAGTGTCAAACAGCGGATCTGCCAACACCACCTCCCTCAAAAACGCCCGCGGGAGGCGCGCAAACCGCACCCGCCTCAGTAGCTCCGCCGATTCCGCCTCGCCGAGCGGCGGATCGCGCGCCCGAACCCACGCCACGCCGGCGCGGTATACGTCCTCCTCGCGAGCGCGCAGCCGGTCGTCCTCCAGCAGCGAGCGGACGATCCGCGCCGGCGCCGCCGCCCACGACTCGCCGCCCAAAACCACGATCTCATGAAACTCGTCTCGCGCCGCCTTGGCCGCAGCCTCTGCGAGCCATGGCAGCCGCCCGATGCGGTCGGCGACCTGCCAAACAGCGATGGCATTGGAAGCGGAGAGGCGCTTACCGCACGCCGCCGCTGCTGCCTCCAGAAGCCCGTCCATCTGCAGAAAATCCGCGCCCTCGAGCACCTCGACGAGCGCCGTTTCGTCCACAACCTCTGCCTCACCGGCGTAGACATACTCGAGGCATGCTCGGAGGCAGGCAGACGAGAAAGGTATGCCGTGCGGCTCTGCGCCGTTGCCGTCCGCCCACGTTCCCGACCAGGTCTTGAAGTACTTGCTGGCGCCCACCAGAATGATCGCATGCGCAGGGATGGCTGGGCCGTCCGATGGCTTCAGCTTCACGTCGCAGCGCTCTCCGGCGCGGAACTTTTGGACAACGTCGGGCTGCTGCTGGTGACCTCCGCTGAGGAGGATGGGAGCCGCGGGCGGCGAGGCGGCGGCGGCGGCGCGGGAGCGTTTGAGCGAGAGCATTACCCACAACGGAGCTTGGGGACGTCCGGGTCCGGCCCGCAAAAGTCCAAGTTCATCCAAGTTGACGTCCTCCATGGGGGTGATCTGTGATCTGTGATCTGTAAGGGTCCGCCCGCAGGCGCATTTTGTATACCGAGGCGGTGCCCGGTGCCGAACCTGTCGGACCTTAAGACAGCGTTGTAGATCCCTGGGCGAGGGTGATGGAGGTGGGGAACCGGTCAAAGTCGACGCCGGTCCCGCCACATCGGTCTCATCGCCGCCGACGCCGTCCGGAGGCGGAGGTCGTCGGGCGGGGCTTCTCGCCCGTCGCGAAGCTGCTATATACAACCGACTATATACATCGTGCGCAGACGACGACACTCCTGCTACACTCGTTCTCTAGTCAACACAAAACAGCATGGAGGTACGGACAATCAACATCGCGACCAACCAAACCGACCAATCGATGCCGCACTTGCCAGCACCGATTGCCACGACGGTTCGCCAAACGAATCGGTGAGGTGGTGACGCAACATGCATACTGGACACATATCTCATGCTGGGGCGCGTCGGACGCAGCCACGTGATCGCGTGGTCGCGAACTTGCGCGTGGCCGCGCTTACCCCCCGGGCGGGGGTGCCCTCTTAGGCAGCCTCGGCGGCCTCGGCGGCACCGGCTGCCCCTGGCTTTCCTGTTGCGTAGCCCCCATCCACCTTCTTGAAGCAGGCGGCGCCCGTCAGGAATAGAAAGAGGAGCGCGCTCAGGGCGAGGAGGGCAAAGACGCCGAAGACGATGCCGACGATGCAGCCGACGCCGCAGCTGCCGCCGCCGCCTCCGTCTCCGGGACTCCCAGGGGGGCTTGGCGGGGGGGCTTGCACGAGACCCTCGACCGTGAGATCGGTGGTGTCGATGCCATCCGCCTGGAACTGAGCAATGAGAGCCGCCTGAAGGCTTGCCGCATTCTCGAGGATGCCGTTCGCACCCGAGAGCGCGTTCTCCGCCGCGGTGGCGGTGGCATCGTCCTTGAGCAGGATCTCGGCACGGACGAGCACAGAGCCAGGCGAGAGCGTGAGGGAGACCGCCGACGTTGGCACACCGGCCCCCTCGGCGATCACCTTCTTGATCGCCGTCTGCTCCGCCGCGCCAATGTCTTCGACCGTGCCGCCGAGCAAGAAATGGGTGACCACCGTGGACGGCGCCGCGCAAGCGAAGCCAGTGGCCGTCAGACCGGACGATGGCAGGCGGCACGCGCCAGACTTGGCGCCGGCTGCAAGCGTGATTGTGCCTGTCACGCCGTCCGCCACGTGGATGACCCCGCCGTCATTGTTTGCGAAGGCCAGGTTGATGATCCCCGCCTCGATGCTGACGACCCCGGTGTTTGTGATGGCGGTGCCCGTGGCAGAGCCAGTCGTCATCGTGACGCCGCCAGCGTTGTTCACTGCGCCCAGCGTGACGGTGCCGCCGTCTGCAAACGACACGGCGCCGGTGGCCGCGTTCGTCACTTCGTACATCTCAAAGGTGCCGCCCGAGACGGTGACCGCGCCGCTGTTTGAGATGTTGACGAGGACGGCGGTCGAGCCTGTCGCGAGCACGGAGCCCGAGTTGACCGTATCGGCGATGAAGACGTTCGGTGCGCCCGAGGCGACCACATTGCCGGTGTTGATCAGGCCGCTCACCTCCAGCTTGGCCGTGGTGCTCGTCACCTCGAGCTCGCCCGCGTTGGAGCCGCCAATCACCATCACGGAGCCCATGCTCAGGACGCTCCTCTTCGCCGTCGCCAGGATCGTCGGCTTGTAGATGCGGAGGTCGGCTTTCGAATCGGCGAAGGTGGACCCGTCCCCCTCGTCGACGTCGAACAGGTCACGTACTTGCGAGTCCTCGGTGGCGGTCTCGTAGCACTGGAACGAGCTGTTCGTGCCCACCGTCGCCTCGAGGTAGATGGCACATTTCATGTCGGAGGAGAGGAAGAAACCCCCGCCGGCCAGAACGGGACGTTGTGCGAACTCCATGCTGCTGTACGGATGCTGGATATCGTCGTCGTCGAAATCGCCGTCGCGCGCGGCGATGATCTCCGCCCCGGGGGTGTTGGCCGCGAAGTCGGCGTCGAGCTGCGAGCAGTCCGAATTGCCACCCCCGAGGACGTAGTACACAGCCGTCATGCACACCTCTTGCGACAAGCTCGCGGGCAGCGGCGCAAGCGCAGTCGTCACAAAGTCGTCATCGTTGTCGTCATCGACCCCGTTGGCGTAATTGATCCCGCAGTATTCGGCTGCAGCATTCTTGCAGCCATCGCACCCCGCGGGGACCAAGTGTGTCGTGCTTTCGAAGAACCAAGCCTCACAGCCACCGGCGGCAGCGAAGTCTGAGACGCAAGTGACGCAGTCCGGGGCAGTCTTGCAGGCGACCGCCAAAGACCTCGGAACCTCTGACTCGAGGGTGAGTTCGTCAAGGCGGCGGCGGCCGAGAATGGCGCCCAGGTCCTGCAGGTCTTCGAAAAAGTCGCCCACGGGGATGCACGTTGGAACCTCCGCCGTCGGGTCTGTGGTTCCGCCGTCGGAGCAGTCCGAAGTGGTGTATGAGGTTACGACCACGGTGTCGCCGTCACAGGTATACATCACCCCACTAGCGCCGTCTGCGACGCACTCTCCGGAGAGTGCGGTCGCCTGCAAGACGTCCATCTCCACAGTCGTGCAACCGGTTGAGCAGTCATCGGAAGTGCAGGTACTGACTTCGACGCCACCCTCGACGCTTGTCCACCCTTGAGGGCCGTCAAAACCTGTCGACCCTGGAGGGCCGTCGTCGTCCAAGTCCTCAAGGCGGCGGCCGCCGCGTTCGTGTCGCGAAAGGCAGACGTTGCTACAGACCTCGTTCTCGTCGCACGCTTTGTAGAGCTGAGCAGAGCTGGAAGCCGGCAGGCACGCACGAGCTTTGAACGCGCAAACCGCAGTCTCCACGTAGTCCTTTGCCGTGCAAACGAACGGGTACCTGACGTCGGTCGTGTTGCTGCAAACGGAGCAGCAGCCTGGGTCGTCCTTGTTCTCGAACTCCCCGAAACGCCTGCAGGAGTCGTCCTCGTCGTCGAACTCCTCGCCGGTGATGGGCAAGTACTCGTACGCTATGAGTTCGTCGTCGCCGGTGATGGGACTGTACTCGTAGATACTCGTGCAGCACGCTATGAGTTTCCGCTCGTTGCCATCGTCGGTGCAGTTGAAGGTGTCGTCGGTGCAGCCGTACTCGGCGCGTGCGGCGACAAAGGCGTCCCAGTTCGATGCGCACGTCTGCCTTTCCCAGTCCTCATCGATGCCCAAGTCTTCTGAGAGCGATGCCGTCGAGATGTTGCTGAGGAACGTGTTCCAGTTCTTAAGGGTGGCCTGATCAGGCGTCCTGAGCTGTGAGTGGCGCGCGCGCAAGGGTAGGGGAGGGCGAGTGCAGGCTCGGTTGGGGACCTGCTTCGCGGTGAACTCGGTGGGGACGGTGGATGCCGCGACAGATGCCACGAGGCAAACGACGAGCTTCATCTCGGACTTGATTGGAGAGAAGACCGAGGATTGGAGAGAAGACCTGGTGCGACGAGTGACGTCTTGCGTTCAGTCTCAGTGGCGGTGGTCGGTGGTGCGTGGACGTGGTGGCGAGATCATCAGTGGGGATTCGGCTGGCCGACGGTGGGCGCGGAGAGCGGTAGAGGTTGGGCACACCGTGGCTCAGAGAGGCTTGCAAAGTGCTCAAGCAGCAACGACTTGGCGCGAGGAGCCGATAGCCTTCTTTGATGGAGTTACGCTCGGCGGCGCATATGAGTCGCTTCGACCATATCCTCCCTGTCCGAGACGTTGTTCTCGTCGTCGTTTTTGTTGGTTGTATGCGTCCTTGTAACCGGTGCCCGAAGCCGGAGCAACACGAGCCGGTCGGTGCGATTAGATTGTTGTTGACAGATTAGTGAGTGAGTGTGCTACTGCTTGCTGGCATGCTGGGACAGAGCTCACGAGCTCACGAGTTGGAGGAGGATCTTTGCGCTCATATTCTCCTGCGATTGTTACGGCCACAAGGAGCCGGCCGGCATTATCCGCTCTCACCCTCCCACCCATAGCGGCTGGTGTCCATGTATGTGTGTAGTCGCTGTCCATCCATGCATGTATGTGCGAGCTGTCAGTGAGTAAGTACGTACGGCAGAGTGCGTGCGTGTGAGTAGGGGAAGTGGTGACGCTTGAGGAACGGATGGACGGGGCTGGCTGGCCCCGCCGCTCCTTGATTCGGACATTCCACATTCCACACACGCGACCGAAACGCGCCTTTGCCCGACGAGTTCTCCTTGCCCCCCCCCCCTCTTCGCTCTTGGTCTTGCCCACTGTGGCCGCCATTGATTGGATGCATTCGCCATTCCGCTTCGCCTTCGACACGTATAGGCGAGCGAGGGCGACCGGCGAGAACACGCTTCCGACAACAAAAAGAACCGCCGACGCGAAATAGACACGGACCACAGGCGCAGGGCGTGGGACTGGGCTCACTCTTGTACTGCTCACACGCCTTGGGGGGGCTTCCTTGTTCTGCTGCTGCTGTGCCTCCTCTCGGACATGCCACATGCGACGAGCCCCTCGCATGTGCGGCGGCGACACCCCCCCCCCCTCACCCAAGCTGG